GCAGGATTGCAGATGACGACGGGCTCCTTGCTGCCCGCTCCATCACCCGTGGCCACCCTGCGCAGAGCCTGAGCGACGGCCCTGGACGGCGCCGTGGCCGCGTTCCAGTCGTGGGCGATGTACTGGTGGTACGGGTCGTGAGAGCTCTCCAGCTTCTTTGAGCGGATGTAGCTGAGCATGATACCGAACGTGAAGAAGCTGAACATGCCCACCAGCAGCAGGATGTACATGATTCCCTGAGACTCAGTGTGGGCCCTGCCTGCAGCCACGTGCTGCACAGCCTGCTGGGTAGTGAAGTTCTCAGCAGGCCCTGCAGGAGACAGAAAGCTCGTGCTGTTGAGGCAGTGCTGCAGGACGGAGAGAAGGAGAGACTGCAGCTCGGTACTGTTGATGTGGGACATGGCTGACCTCTGCTGGGCACTCAGCAAACTGCAACTAGGAAAAAAGAAAAATTTATAGAGAAATGCAGTTATTTAGAAATGCGATATATGCCTCTGGTACACGACAAATGAATAATACTTTTTCATTTGTGGAGTGATTTTAAAAACTCATGTTTAAAAATTCTGAGTGAGTCGTTCAGAGGAGTCGTGATTCCCACAGCGAGGGCTGCAGTGCTCCGCACGCTGTGCAGATTATTCAGTTTTCAAGTCTTTACAACCAATCAATATATTTCTAAAAAGCTTTTAATTTTGTAAAAATTTTCACTTGATTTTTCAGATTTTGAACAGTAGATTTATTCAAGTAAAAGTACATTTTAATATACTTTTACTTTATATAAGTATTTCCATGTTTTGCAGAGACTGTATATTACTTGCACTCCATCCATCTATTTTCTGTTGCTTCTCTGGTCGGGGTCATGCAGAGACGCTCAGGCCTTCTGCTCCCCGCCACCTTCTCCAGCTCTTCCAGAGGGACACCGCAGAGACACAGCCTCTGCAGGACGTCTCTGTGGGTTGTCGTCCCAGTGGGGCCTCACATACAAGGAGCCATTCAGCTTTACTTGCTTATTATTTGGCAGATTTTAAAACATAAATCTATTATTATATGATGATGTATTATTAGGGGAAACGTTGGCAGGTATTATATAAGTGACTGAACTGATATATACAGTAATCACTAATATCATGTTTAGGATCCTCCATGAGTACTTTCATAACTTTTGTTCTATTCTTCAACTGCGATTATGACTATTACTTAAATAAAGTGATTAAATATTTCTGTCATCACATTTACAAACAGCTGTTCACCTAAAAACAAAAGAAAGTAAAACTTGTCCCAATGTTTTCTACACGACTCTCCAATCTTTCAGCCCCTCAGCTTAGTTCTTGTTCCCTTGTGCAGCAGCCCAATAAAAACACTCATTTCAATGTGACTTTATGCAGTATGAAGAAATATGTTGTGAAAAGATTTAAATACTTAATGGCTCATTTACATATTTAATCATCAGAAGAAAATTTGTGATAAAAAAAACTGATGATCTTAACCTGAGAGGTCTAGTTCCAGTTTTCAGCCCGTTCACCTGAGATTTAAAATAAACTACAAGGGAGGCAAGTGGGAGGTGTAATCAGGTGTAATCTGAGAGGCAGCTCACATTTTTCAAATCAATATCAGGGTTCTCACATTCTCGGGGATGATGATCGAGTTTGTCTTATCGTTACTGATGTTTACAGATTTCATTGTGCACACACATCCTGACTGAATCTTCATGCATTAGAGAGAAAAACTTACCTGAGAAGGACTCACATCAACCCGTGCGTCTCCAGCGAGGAAAGAAGCAGCTAGTCGCTGAACCCTGAGTATTAATGCTCAGTCCTCACCCATAAACATGCTCAACATGTCAACACGTTTAATGAAACCAGGAGGTCACAGGGCAAGGTCAAAGGCAGCAGGGGTGTCCTAATTTCACTCCCCTGTGCTGGTCCAAGCAGCAGCTTTGCAGGAAGATTATTATCTTTACATCAGGCCTTGTTTAGGCAGCATTACCCAGTACAATGTCACTACTTTCATTATGTATCATGAGTCTGACTGCATGTCAGATATGAACATTTCAGTGCTGCTCATAGGATCACCATCCATGCTCCTCTGAGCATCCGGACAGCAGCTTGTCAGATGTGTATGTGCTCGGCCGGGTTGTGTTGCAGAGGGAGTGTGTGTCGCTGCAGGGACGGCGCCGGGCTGCGAGCAGGAAGAACAAAGCTGCTTTCAGACCAGAGGCAGTTTGGATCGTCTGCAGCACAGCTCAGACTAGATTGAGTTACAGCACAGTCACCTCCAAATGTCCTCTCACCACTGTGTGTGTGTGGATGGGTTTTAACGTCTTCATGGGGACCAAAGATGGATAGTTTACTATACTGTGGGGACAAACAGCCATCGTGGGGACCAAAACCCCAGTCCCCTCGAGTTTGAAGGCATTTTTACACTCAAAATGTGGTTTTAGTGTCAGGATTACAATTAAATAAAATAAATACACACACGTGTGTCTGTGTTTAGAAACAGTGTAGCAAAAACAGTGGACAAATATTAACAAAAATATGATCGTACAACCTTTGTCTAATTAGACGTCACTGTGTGTGCTTTTAAACCAGAGTTAACATAAAGAGTATTTAATGGCGTCGTTTTGCTCTTGCTGGTCTCTGCTCTCTTCCCTCCAGCCTCCACCTCCTCACTGTTCTTCACGCTGCACAGTGTTAGCTGACTAGCTAGCATTACCCAGAATGCTGTTCTGCAGTGTAATTTTGTAAATATCCTCTTAAAATTCAATTATTTGCTTCCAATCATCAGAACTGTGAATAGGCTGAAATAAAGTTCCCCACAAGGCTCTTGGTGGGAAAATTAACAATAATTAGTGATAATAGAAAAATTAATATTAAATACAAAACTATACCCATAAATAGTTGAAATAAGGAAAAAATGCTCTCGTCTCATTTTGTTCTAATGTTTCATACATTCTGACTTGAATTGCAGATGATTGGAGGTAAAGTGTGTTCTCTCCTACTCCCCACTGTGAGCCGTTACCAGATGTTCAGCTCTGAGTCAGCGGGCCTCACTTTGAGAACCTGCACTTTAAAACAACTAATGGGCCAATAACCAACAGTCTCCTTTCCAATGCTTCCTGTTTACTCCTCCAAGACTGTGAAATTATGACTGAATCAGTTACAAGACTGATTCACCTTAGCTTGTGCCAACTTAGCATGTGACACAAGACTCGGGCCTACACCACACTGGCAGCGACATGGTGACCAGAAATACATTCGGCTAGCTGATCGTCAGCTCCTCTAGCCTTCACTCATCCTTAGGCAAGACACTGAACCTTGAGTTTATCCCAAATCATTCATCAGAGTGTGTGAAAGTAGGCAAAGTGCCAGTCAAAGAATGAGACTTGTTTTCAGTTAAATTTATTTATACAGCGCCAAATCACAACAACAGTCGCCCCAAGGCACTTTATACTGTACGATAAAGACCAATAATCCAGGGAAAAGCCCAACAATCATATGACCCCCTATGAGCAGCACTTTGGTGACAGTGGGAAGGAAAAACTCTTTTAACAGGAAGAAACCTCCAGCAGAACCAGGCTCAGGGAGGGGCGGGGCCATCTGAGCAAGGGGAGGACTACAGAACAAAGACACGCTTTAAGGAGGGCGAGTGACCAATGAGAGCACCAGACACTACTTGACATGTGACCTGACAGTAGATATATTAGAGGGTTACCTAGGCAACCTGGGATATGACCAGCCATCATCTTCAAAGTGATGAGTGAAAGGCTTCCAGTGTGAATGCAGTTTTATTTTAATCTTGACTTCGTCCATCTTGATGCTTTAAAAACAGAGTGAGGGACGCTTTGAGCTCAGTCACGGAGCATCACATCAGCTGATCAGCTTTATTCTGAAATAAACCAGAATTGAACTAAATGTTTCTACTGTCACGAACTCTCACAGCTGTGTGCCCAGTGCTAACAGAAAAGGAGCTGTTGTCGAATAAAATTGCTTCATCTATAGAGCCGAGAGTGTCCGTCCACCGTCGATCACCACAGTCCCCGCATTAAGCCAGCAGTAGAGTTGGATGAGGTTTTCAAGTCTTTTATCTCTAAAGGATTTCTTTCACTGACTGGGAGGGAGGGGGACAAGGTTCCCTCACAATTTTAAGGGATACTTGTATCTGTGGCACGTTGTGTTATTATGCCTTTTTCCAACCAGTCATACTATGGCGCAGATTTGTTGGTGTGGGGAATTACGATGCACATGCCGCTTCACACAGTTACCCTACTTTCCCCTTAGTATCAGGCACAGAGCAGGTGGGGGTGAAAGATCAGCTACCAGTCGCGGGTGTTGATCTTATTCTTGGAAATGAATTCGCTGGGGGAAAGATGTTCCCTGCCACCCCTGAAGCTGCTGAAAACCCTGCTGCAGATGTTTTCGGTCATGCACCATCTGGGCCGGTGTCTCTGCAGTTTAGCATGTGTGGTTGCTCATGCACAGACCTTGGTGATGCAGTGGACATTTCCCATACATTCTTTAAGGAGCCTAAAACTCCTGTCAAGCCTTTGCCTGGGAATAAGAATGAATCTGTGGCGTTTACTGGGATACCAAACAACTTGTGTCTAGCAGTAGACAAAGAGCAATTCAGTAGAGCTCAGCAGTCTGATTCTACCTTGTCTGCCTGCCTCTGTGCTGCAAGGCGGCGAGCACTTGGAACCCAACCCGTGTTGTGCTGATGATGCTGTATTGCTTGTTAGGCCTTGACCACGATCATTTAGGAATTAGGAGATCTTATGATAGAGTTTCCTGCTATTATTTTTGGCCAGGATTGAAAACTGAGGTTGTCAGATTCTGTCCATCATTTTATCCACGTCAAATGGTTGGTAAATGGGTCAAGCATTTCTTGAGTGGGAGAAATGTTAGATGGGGGAGTGTTATGATCCAGGTCATGATTTTGTGTTGTTGCTGCTCACCACACCTGAGGGTGGCGTTGTTTGTCCTGTGCTTGTGCTTGTGTAAGTTTGCAGGTGGAGCCTGACCATTAGTAGAAGACTGAATGAGGCCGGCTATAAATTTGGACCTGTCTGGACTGGCGGCTCCACCTACTTCCTGTTTCCAACAAGCTGTGTGTTAGCCCCGTGTGTGGTGTGATTGAGTTTTCTTAGATAAGAAGAGCTAGGCTGCAGATATTGTAGATAGTGTAAAAAGATCTCTATTGTTGACCTGGTAGCTGTAGGGGAGGGAAGCCGTTTTCTTTGAGAAACGTTTCTCCTGTTAGGGAGACAGGTGGGAGGCCTGTATTTTCTTTTGGGTTTTCTCATTAAGTCAGTTCTGTTTAATGCCCACCCTGACGCTCGCTACCTTTTGAGTTTAATAAAACCGCTAGTCATTGTAAAACCGAGGCCGTGTTGTCCTACTGGAGCAGGGAGTGTGAGCTTTTTCTTTTTTTTGGCTCTTCTTGTGTATTGCTCCAGCTTCTGCTAGGCCGGGGTGTAAGAATGCACACAGGGAGAACAGACCACATTTATCTGGAATTATTGATGGAGAAGGAATATTCTCGAGTCACTGCTAACTTGTAAGTCTCTAATAAGTATAGTAGGTAACTTGAGTACAGCTCACCTGTGGCAAATAAGCAGTAATTTAATCGAACACTTTCATTGTTCGGAGATTGCTGACCGTAAACTCTTCATTGAAGGCTTAGTGTTTTTAAAGTAATGCAGGATGAGGGACTAATAGATGCTTTGTAAATATGACTTATGAGATAATAAACATTAGTAATTTAAAGGTGTTACTCACACCTTTAAAGCTCTCCACTCAAAGTGGAGGTTTTCCTTTCCCCCTGTCATTTATGCGATGTTACAGTGGAAGATGTTTGCATTACAAATTACAGCACAGGCATCAGACTGCCCACACTCAGATTTATCTACTCTTGGGTTTGTATGACACAAGAGAGAGGGGATATCCCTAATAAGGTCATCTCAGGTACACCCACATTTTCAAATCTGTTGCATATGAGGGGCAGCCAATCAGAAGAAAAATGCCTTAAAAGGGAAATAAACAGCTTGTTTAACATAGAGGACAATCTGAGAGGCTTCATCGAGGTCCAGCATGAGATAAATAAGGATTATTTTGAATTGTAATCATGCAAAGCCGCTCTGGCAGAGTCCACAAAAGAAAAAGAAACACGAAGGTGTAAATGAGCAGGTCCATCTCAAAGAAAAAAATGCTCTGATCTTCTGCCTGAGCTCCAATCCAATCTGATGGATATAAAAAATGAAAAATACAATCACAAAAATCAAAGTGAAAGACATTCTTCCATGAACAGAGAATTTATACAGCAGCTCACCGCTGATGTTAGTCTAGCTGCACCCCGTCACAGTTATCTTTAGATTCTCCCTGTCTACAAGTGCACAAAGGAGACAAAACAATCTTTTTAGATATAAAACCAACACAACCAAAATGACCTGTTTCCTGTGAACAGATCACCTGGACAGCAGACATGACTTACCCAGCCTGAGCCTTTTTAGCTTGACGTGCTTCGTGCTCATCCCAGATTTTCTTGTAACAGTAGATCAGAACCGCAATGAGCCACAGCTGCAGGAACGTGACCAGCACGTACATCATTATCTCCGAGATCACATCAGTCAGCTCTCGATTGGCTGGGAAACAGGAACTGACAATGAAGCTCCAGAGAGAAGACTAGCAGGGGCATATTTCTCCCATATTAGCTTCTCTTCTATCCGCCCAACATGCATAGAGAAGAAGATCTTTTGTAACACTGCTTGGAACAACAATATTTTGTATAACTGAAGGATTTAAATCCATCCTCCTTACCTACAGTCACCACACTAAGCTCCACCTCCTTCTCCACAGTGACAAGCCCAGGAGACAGCGGCAGGAAGAGGGTACGGTGGAAGGTGCAGCGATACGTCCCAGTGTCATTGAAGGTGACATTATTAACATACACGGTTCCCATCTGAATGTCATCATTTAGCGTCCCGCGCCATACCAGGCGGTGGCTGAAGTCTTCATGGAGGATGTCAGCCACAGGATAGTCATAGTGGAAAATCTGAGATAGGGAAAGAATTAAAAAACTGGGAATTTAGTTGTACTTCTTCCCTCACTTATATCTGAATAGAACATAAAGAAATAGACACACATAAGCTGATCGGTGACAAGGTAGGCCTGCTCTAAAACATCCCCTGCTTTATTGTCCTTTTGAGCTCTAATAGGAAACATATTGTACCAAATAAATATCACCATGTATTCAGTAGGACTTTAAACAAATGACTGAGACCAAAAACTCGTCAGAGATGTGTCAGGGGTACACGTCATAATAAAAAAGTTTGAAGGGATACATGTGAGCTTACATGTATGGACCCTCACACGCTCCACCAGTCAGTGATCAGTCATCTAAGGCAGCGGTTCCCGACCCCCAGCCAATGGACTGGTACCGGGCCGTGAGAGTCGAGGCTCAGGTGTGAAATTTATGTTTTTCATGGTTTTTTATCGTTTTTATCATTAACTCGGTTTCTCTGGGTCTTTTCCTGTGTGTTATGAATAAATCTTCTTTTTTTGGCACCGCTAATCGTTTTATTTTGTGGTGTTCATCTGCGACAACTTAAAGGCCGGTCCGTGGTGCAAAAAAAGTTGGGGACCGCTGATCTAAGATGAACAAAGGTAGACACGGACAAATAAAACAGTTCATCTTCCCTCCCTCCATCCCTCATATATCCACCCATCCATTCATTCATCCATCCATCCCTCATCCGTGCATTCATGCATCTATCTATCCATCCATCATCCTTCCCTCCACCCATTCATCCCTCCATCCACTCATCCATCTATCCCTCCATCCATTTTCCAACACGTATCCATGGTGGCAGCAGTTTACTGTGTAATTTATGCCATGGTGTTTGTGTCTGTGGAGTTATTTGCCCACACAGAGTGGTGCAGGTGTTTTCCCCGCACTGGGTTCTCCGGTGCAAACTCCATCCACACTGTGCTGGATGTGAGTGATGCTGTTATTCTGTAGAAAGTGGTCCAGAACAGTGTTGCTCTTTTTTATGTTTGTGTCAAGAAACAAGAAAAAACATCAACGATAAAAAGAAAAAAAATCCAGTGACGTTTTTGTTTGATGCTCCACTACCTGAGTCTCTAGAGAACTTTGCTGAACTTACATGCCTGAACTCCTCCTCTCCCAGAGGCTTGAAATGCCAGTCTACGGTGGCTCGTGCAGGGACCTCCTCTCGTCTCTTACAGGAGATGCAGCCCAGCAGGAATCCTTCTCCCGCCACAGCCTCAGTCAGAGAATCCACCTCAGAACAGCCGGCATGGCACTGAGACACTGCAGAGAGAGGACGAGGGGAAGAAGAAGTAGGAGAAGAAATATAAAATAGAAGCAGACAGAGAGAAAATACGAAAGCAGAAATAAATCAGAACTTTGTGAATCTGTCAGCAGTCACAATTGTCAAGCAAGCAAAACTTTACTTAAACAAGAAGTAGAGAGACAAAGAATAAAACTAAAGGCAAAAATACCCAAAATAAAAAGCTCATGTCTTTCCAGTTACACACACATATCACATAATTTAGCACACAGGCTGCAATAAGAAGAAAAAGCGACATAAATCATGTCATAACAGACCAAAATAGTTTTAATCGCCCTGCACATGAAGAATACAGTCACACACGTATCAATAAAACACCTGCATGCACTCTGTTAGGTAGACCTACTGAACTGCTCGCTAACACAAACATCTAATCATCCAGTGATGTGGCAGGAACTAAATGCATTTACCATGTATGAAGACATGTTTGAGACGACCTGCTGAAGTTCAATCTCAGCATCAGAATGAAGACCAAAAAACTGGATTAATCTCTCGTATTTACAGAGAAACAGGAAACATCCAGGAGCCGCAGGAGGAGCCATTCTCTGCTGGAATACTTAGTTGATGTCATAGACCAGAGCAACTCCAAACAACAGAAACTCAAATAACCACTTGTTGGAACCAAGGTTTGCAGAAGAGCAGCAGAAGTCCACACCGGGTGTTCATCCTGTCAGCTAAGAACAGGAAGCTGAAGCTACAGTTCACACAATCTCCCCAAAACTGCACAACAGAAGACTGGAAAAATGTTTCCTGGTCTAATAACCAACCTACAGCAAATGTGTTATGCTGTCATTTTAATTTGGCCCCAAATCTCTGAGGAATGTTTTCAGTACCTTGTTGAATCAGTGCCATAAAGAGTTACTGCAGTTCTGAAGCCAAAAGTACTAACAAAATGTACCTAATGATGTGTCCAGTCAGTGTTCATTTAGGCAAAAACAAACACTGTAATCATCAGACAGACAGTCGTAAAAGCTGAAAACTCTGGAGGTTAGACATGTTTTGCATGTAACATTAACTGTATGTGAGTAAAGCCCTCACATACACGAGTCATCAGACTGATTCAGCTCCAGGAAACTTTCATGCTGCACGTTGTCACTCTAAAAAACACATCTGTCCGTGTTTCTTCTCTTCTTATCATCAAATCTGGAAATGTGTGCAAATGTCATTGAACAGATCATTGCTTGTATACAGAAAAACAAAACAGAGGCATCATTCAGTCCTTCCGGATGCAAATGATGGATCGAACAGGAACAGCGTCTCTTTGAGGAAGCGTCCAGTCTGTTTCTGTCGTCCCCGCCCCAACTTCAACAACACACAGACGGAAAACGCAGGTGTGCAGGTGTAACGGCTACTGGAAACAGCAATAAGTGAGTATTTTTATTTCTAATTAAACTCTACATGTCAACACCAAGAAAAACACAGTGACTGCAGTTGGAGAAAAATGAGACAAAGGCTGAAAAGAAGGACAGCGGGCTACAGATAGATGCAGATATTCTTATATCATCTTTTGTAAATAAAGACACAGTAGAAATGCAATGCAATGCAAAAAATAAGAAATAAAACAGGATTTGTTTATTTGTAAAATACAATAAACAAAAAAGAAGAAACTAAAGAATAAATGTAACCAGTCACAGACAGTTATGAAGACAGTTATGCAACATTGTATCGAAAAGGCCGCCATGACTGTCAGATCACTGAATCTGATGATATTTGTCCAACAAACTAAATTCGTTAACTTTTTTAGTTTTATTGCGTTTATAGTCATTTTCAACTTCCCAGAATAAGAGAGCTTTACGGTCAAAGTAAAGGGTTTCCATGTATTAGAGCAAAACTTCAGCCACCAGCACTGATCGTTTCTCAGAGTTAAAAGTTAAAGTTGAAGAACAGGAAGGATTTTTTTGGACTTACCAAAAAGACTGAAGACAACTAACAAAGAAAAGTAGAGTCTCATCTCTGCGGGAGCCTCGGTCAAGCCTGCAGAGAAATATCGGTGTTGTCTGAGATTACAGGTCTGCCTCTTGATTCCCAATGAATTTCATTTTCCATGTGAATCCACACTTTGATTTTCCCATTGGTCCAACAGCTCAACAATCTTTAATTTCCCTGAGGCAAAAAGAGAGCTTCAGAGCACGGGAAATGCTTCATTTATATCAAAAAGTTGAGTCTCTGTGTTTCAGGAGTTTTAAGTCTCCCGTGCTGTCCTGTCTGACTTTAAGGCAGCTAAATTTAGAGCGTGTGAATCCAGGAGAGTTGGGCATTACGAACGCTGAGAGCCAGCACGAAACCTGAGAAGATGAGACCTGAACCACAACCACAACGTGACCGCCACAGCAACACTACAGCCAAGTGTCCTCTGATTCAAACACTGACAAATCACAAGCCTGCAAAAGAGGAAAACTTTACATATAACTTCAGATACAGTGAAATTTGTTGTGGCCAAACAGACGTATAATCTTTCTCAGTGTGTACTACGATACACACAGTTTACTGTTCTGTGTTTCATGTTCGTTCTTTCCTGAAAGGAGCTGCAGGGCTGACATGCAAAATAACCACCATAGGATTTGTTAAACAAACAAAGTGGAAACAAAAGCAGCTCAGAGATTAAAGGGTAGCTCACAATCAGCTGCTTTCATTCATACAATAACTTCAGTAAAAAGTTCAACATTTTCCTTCATGGTTCGATATTTTTACAGACATAAACATTTACAAATGTTAAACATGACCACATTGGGAAGGCTTTTTGAGCCAAAAGGAACCACTGCACCAAAACTTTAACTGAGCATCTCCCACAATATGACCCTCGGTATTCACTCAAAGTGCAGTTTTCAAATTTTCTCCAGTAAAATATCAAAATCATCCAGGGGACCAATGCTTGTTGCTGTCCTCATGTGCCATCAACATTAAAATGATGCTGTCTCTGAATCATAGACAGACTTTGCTAGTTTGATTGCAGGTTTTACCAGAACTTAGATGTGTTTTCCAGCTGTACTCACAGAAATCCATAAGGACGCCTCAGCAGAGATACAAAAACAACAACACGTTTGTGGCAACTTTAAGAAAAGAACTGCAGTTTCTATCAAAGCTTAGTCATCAGAAGTGTTGCACATTTAAAATAAACTCAGTGAGACAATGTATGTTAAAAGAAGACAAAAGTAAAAGTTTCACATTTAAGAAGTGAAATATTTAATGGGGGTCGGGGTAAACTCGACAGTATATAATGGTTTTACTGATCTGACTCGTTACAAGGTTAAAGATGTATTAAACGCATGAATAAAATACACAGGTGTACTCATAAGACAGCAGGCAAATAGGAAATAAAGAAAAAGTGAGAAAAGATCAAAAAGGAAACAAAGAACAGCAAAGGGACAGAGAAAACTGGGAGTGTTGAAAAAAGAAAGATGGAGGAACAGAAAAAGAAAAGAAATAAACAACAAAGGGGGAAGTCAAGAAGAAAGACGAGTGAGAACTAAATAAGGAAACTGGGGAAATGTTAAAAATGAAGAAAATATCAAAAGGGAGAAGAACAAAAAAGATTTTTAAAAAGAGGGGGGAGAAGGAAGCAATAAAAAAATACAATTAAAGCAAGACGAGCGACAAAAGAGGGAAGAAGAAAGAATAACAAAATAAGGAAAGATGGACAAGAAGAAAGGAGGAAGGCACATTTAGCAGAAAAGGAAGGAAGAAACAACAAAGGAAGCTAGGCCAGAGGAAGGAATGAAGGAAAGGAATGAATGAAAACAAGGACAGAGAGAAGATTGGAGGAAATAGAAAAGGCTGCACCAAAGAAAGGAAAGTTTGGCGTGAAGATAACCCATGAACCGAAATAAATCTGACAGCCGCGGATTAAGTGATTTAAAAATGATGAGTTTTTATTAAACATCATGTCCCAGCTCCTTTAAAAACGTGTTTCCTCTCCTCTTTTAGACACCACATCTCTTGTTCCTGCTTTAAATCCATCTGAATATTCCACACTGACTCTTTCACACTTCCTGCCTGTCCTGCTTAGCGCTGTAAATTGCACTCATCAGCCTCTTTAAACCTGATTTCAAACCCGGCACTTCCCTCGTGTTCAGCCACTAAATGTAATATTCGGTTTGTCTTGATTTCTACCATTGGAGAGTCTGACAGTCGGTCAATGCCTGCCACAGAAACAAGGCCACTCAAGTCAAGGCTGCCAAAGCAGACATCGACTGAAGGCCTCAACTTGCGTGCTGACAAAGACATTCACGTGGAGGATGCAGGCGGTGAGGTGGCGTGATGAATGTAGCGGGCTGGGTTGTTTTTAAAGGGGAATGGCTCGTGATGCGTGAGGTGAACCTGAACACGTCCCTCTGTAAGGTCGTACAAATATTTGGGGAAAATAATTAAAATGTGAGCAGGCGGTGGGACACACGCCGTGTTTGTGTGCGTTTGTGTATTTTAGTTGATTTGGAGGTCAAGGATGTCGTCATGTGATGTAACTAAAGCGATAAGCGTCCTTACCTCTTTGCTCTTTTTTGGCCTTGTGTGTGTCTGTGATTGATAATGGCAGCAAAAATCAGGAGGGTTAAAGAAATTCCCAGAGCAGAACATACGGGAGGGGGGACTTCTAGGAAATGTTGACACATGATAAACCCCCTGTGTGTGTGAGTGTGTGTGAGTGTGTGTGTGCACCTCTGTGACCCAACACATGCGTACACACAGTGAGTGACACACCTCCTATCTCACTATGCTGGTGATGATTCTTTATTTTTAGCTCAGATTGAGTTTCCAGCCCCTCCTGCTCCGCATGGTTCAGCAGCCAGAAGTGCTCAACAACACAACTCCCTGTAACCTGGAGCGCAGCAGTTCCTGCATATGTGACTCGGAGCTCAGCAGCAGCAGCGGCAGCGCCCAGCGAGGCGTTGATTGCAGGAGGCGGAGGAACAAACACCCGAGATGCCTCACAGAAGCTACGGAGAATCTGAAATTGCCAAGTCACTGTGATGCTTTGTCATCAGTTTGAGAGGATGCAGAGGCAGCTGCTGGCTCGGGATCAAAACTGACAGGTACGTTAGAGACAATTCAAAAGTGGTTGTGTAGTTAAAGACTAAAAAACTTCTTTATATGAGTTTTTCTCCTCAAAGGACTACAAATGTCTCTGTTTCATAACGTGGTTGAGCTGCTGAAGTGCAAGAACAGCTATGTAAATATGGACTTTTAGAAAGTCCGGTATAGTGACAGATCAATAAAATCTCAAATATAGGTTGTAAATATGATAAAGTTAAACTTTGCATGCAAAACACCTAAAACTGTAAAAACCTTGAGAGACACACAAATCGTTTCCACACAAACCACAACACACAGAGATTGATCTTATTTAGATGATCACTGAGCTCCTTTATTAGATTTTGGTTTTTCCAGTTTAAATGTGCTGTTTTTGTCTTGTATTTGTGACCTTGTTAAATTAGTTTGTCTGAGCATCGTATTTTTTATTTTATGGAGCTATTTGATAACTATTTAGCTGCTATTTAACACAGAAACTTCAAAACTTGGGGGATCAATAAAGTATATTGCATCTTCTTGTGACCCAATGATGTCACAATAATTAAAGCTTCTCTGTATGTCTGTACATGCCTGTACATTAACAGGTGCAGATTTCAATGGCGATTCTTGGGAAACATTAAAGATGTATATAACTATGACAGGTCGATTTTTCTTCAACAACAAATTCTTTTATTGCTACCAAAAATGAGAATTATGATTTCATGCCACCTCTGAATCTCTTTTTGCCTGCATGAATACCTCTGCCTGATGGAGGAGGCAGAAAAACCCCCACTGCAACTATGAGGGGTTTTTTCTTCTCATGTGTAAGATCGCAAATTGATCTTAAACATTCTGCATTAGTCTTTTCATAAAATAATTTAAAACCTTACAGAATTCACTAAAACGATGAACAGAATAAGAAGAAACATCTACAGCTATGACTTCATCGCTATCAACTGAACTTGAACTGTACTTTAATGCAATACCACTTTCACTTTATACCAGAAGATGGAGCACAAAGTTGATGTACCCCGTTATTTAACCTAACAAGTAAAAAGGAATTTATTCTAATTCACAGGAAACGAGTTCAGGGCTATTTTCTTTTGAAATCCATCCATTCTCATTCCCAACACGTAACATACCGATGATTTGTTACATCCCGAGGCGTATCGTAGTAACGCGAAATGTAACCTTCCGCATCCCTATGGTACGATTGTGGATGGAATCCAACAGCGGTAACACACGCTCCAGCCGTCTATTCCAGCGCTAACACTAACCTTAACCATATCAGGTAGTGTGTTCCAAAGCGATTCATGATCAGAATGTAAAATAAATGTACATGTCTAGATTCACTCTCATACCTCCAAAAGCGTACTATCCCGATGATTTGTCACATAGCGTTGATATGTTATGTTTTAGGATGAGAACATGTTGCTTCTGAAAACGTTTCAAAATGCTGCCCCTTCTGGTGAAAGGTTTAGTTCATATTTGCAGATCTTAATTACACCAATTCTCATTAAGACATTACAGTCAAAATAAAGATTATGAGCATGAAAAATATGAATGAATCCACACTTAAACTGTTACTTTGTTTAAATGTTTAAGCAATATGAGCACAGACTGATAAATCCTGTCTCAGTAGTGATAATATTACACGGGGAAATGGAAAATAATTATTTCTTTCGAAAATGATACAGAATACCCGAGATTCTCACTGAATTTTGTTTTTTCTGTTACATAAATAATGTCCTGCGTGAGGTGTACGTATGCCACCACTTACTTTATAATGTGGCTTCTTGACCTTTATTAAGATTAGATAAAAACTGTATTTTTTAATTCTGTAACTGTAAAGCGTGAAACTGCTATGCCGTTCCTTTAAAATGGCATTTTAATATATTAAATGAATTTCAAACAAAACCTCGTCTACAGTTATGCATTTGCATTATTTGGGTTTGCTTTTATTCTCCACTGCAGACCAGGTGACCTGGTATACCTATCGCCCAAAGACTGCATCCTTCCTACAAATGATGCTTCTGCAAGCGGAAGCAGGTGAGATGTCAATCACACTCTTATTTCTTAAAGGACTGTTATTCACTTAATAGGGACCCACGGACACGCAGTATTTCCAGCGCGTGGGGTTACTAGTTGTTGCAGTAGGCCTCTTTAAACACAAGAGGTCGCTATGCTCCTTTGCATCAGCGGTGGTTAACATTTGCTCCCTTCAAACAAACTCTGAAATTAAG